GGGATCAAACTCGGGACCTTGCACATTCAAGGCAGGTGGCAGAGCCATTGAGCTAAATCCCCGGCCCAGCTCCTCTATTTTTTTAATCTGTGTCCTCTCTAGATTTATTAATCATGTCTTACACTAGGGCACAGTCTCTGCTGTTATCTGAGAAATTATTTCTGATTTCATTTTTTCCCGATCCTCTTTTGTTGCCGGTTCAGGGAGTCCAGGTGGTTGAATATCAGATTGTTCCATCTCATTTCCCTTTGGGGTTGCTTTAGGTGATCCGGAAGTCTGGTTTTAAGACTTGTTTATGTGTCTTCTCATTTCAGTGGGGGTAGGTGCTGCTGGTGCCAGTGAGGCCCACCTCCTCAGGGCTGAGGTGGGGGCCTCTGCTCCTGGGTGCTGGGGGCGGTGGTACAGGGGCCTCCACCAATATTCTTTGAGGAATTGTCCTGACTTGAAGTCCCACGCTTTTTTAGTTGTGCCAGACTGCTAAGATTTCCCCATGGCTTTGAGTTTGGAAATATGGGGCATTACAGAGTACGACCTGGAACCTAATCATTTGTCATATACCATGTTAATTGGTTACTTAGAAAACATTTAAATTAGTGTTCATTGATTATTAAAATTATTGTCATTTTTGGAGCTTACTTAGAATTTTAGGAGTTTTCTGAAGTTACTAAAAATTCATACAATGTTGGACTTTTATCTCATCTCTGTTTCTTTTCAGCGTTTTCCATTGGGGGGTGATGATGAAGTTATGAATTCTACTTTACAACAGTTTTCAAAAGTTATAGATGAGGTAAATATTTAGTTTCCTTGAATAAGTGTTCTCATAATTGTTACTCTAGTTATTAAGTTTTAATTGGGAACCTTTATTATAACAAAAAATAAAACTTTATTACAAAGACTGCTAAAGAAGGGTCTTATTTCCATGTGCTTGTTGCTGTCTGATAAGAACACTTTCTTTATCTGTTAAAACAAATTGTTTTTGAGGAGTAAGCTTAGAGATGGGCTTTCTATATTCCCAGCCCATGTATCATTCATTGTGTTACTTGATGTGGGCAAGGAAAGAGGGATGAAGCTGTAAGCTATAGCTAAGCCCTTTGTGGTTTTTCTTTTGCTGTGAAGCAACATTTACTGTTTAGTCCTTATTATTAGTAGTAGTAATTTCATTATTTTTATTAACAAACTACTTAGGAGAATATTTTGTAAATAATTGTTCTTTAGCTTTAAAACTATAAGAAAAAGAAATGACCATTATTAATATATATATATATTTTTTTATTTTTTATTTTTTTTTTATTTTTCTTTTTGCTACTGGGGATCAAACTTAGGAACTTGCGCTTTTGAGACAGGCACAGTGCCACTGAGCTAAATCCCCAGCCATACCACATTTTGTTTATCCGTTTATTATGGACATTTGAGTTTCCACCTTTTGGCTAGTGTGAAATAGTGTAGCATTCGTATACTAGTGTGTTTTGTTAAAAACCAGTTTTCAGGTCTTTTAGGTACATACTCAGAAATGGGATTGCTAGATCATATAGTACTTTTGTTTGTTTGTTTGTTTGTTTTGTTTTTTGGTACCGTGGATCGAACTTTGGTCCTTGTGCTTGCGCTTGCGAAAGCGTGGCAGAACCACTGAGCTAAATCCCCGGCAATCATATGGTACTTTATGTTTAATTTTTTTTTTTTTTTTGAAGACAGGGTTTTAAGATATAGTTCAGGCTGGCCTTGAACTCATTCTAGCCCAGGCTGGCCTGAACTCTCAGTGATCTTCCTGCCTTAGCCTCCTGAGTGCTGGGATTACCAGCATGCACCATGGTATCCAGATATGTTTAACTTTTTCAGGAATCACCAAACTGTTTTCTGTATTGCTCATACCATTTATATTCCCTTGAGCAAGGAACAAGGTTCTACCTTTATTACGTCCTTGTTCTCAACAACATTTTTTTTTCCAGAACTGGGGATTGAACTCAGGGCCTTCATACTGAGGTGTATCTCTGGACCTTTTTATTATTTTTATTTTGAGACTGGGTCTCACTAAGTTGCCTAGGCTGGGCTTGAACTTTCAAACTTGTGATCCTCCTCCCTCAGCTTCATGGAGTGCTGGGATTATAGGTGTGCACCACCACACCCAGCTCTTTGTCCATTTTTTAATTCAGTTTTTTGTTTTCTCAGAGTTCTTTATTCTAAGTGCAATCTTCTTATTAGATTTGTCATTGGCAAATATTTTATTCCATTATGTGGGCTATTTTCACTTTTTTGATATCATCGTTTAGTGCACAAAAGTTTTAAAATTTGTTTTGTTTTGTTTTGTTTTTGGTACTGGGGATCGAACTCAGGACCTTGAGCTTACGAGGCTGGCTTGGTGCCACTGAGCAAAATCCCTGGCCCCAAAGTTTTTAATTTTGATGAAGTCTTATTTGCATTTTCTTTTATTCCTTGTGCTTTTGTTATCATAGCTAAGAAGTCATTGCCAAACTCAGAATCTTCCTAAGTTTTTAAATGGAAAATTTTGACTGTATAATATTTTGTACTATATAAAAGCTTTTGGTATTTTCTTATGTAAAATATGTCAGCCTATTAAAGTAGTTTGTTTCATTTACATAAGACTGGTTAAATGTTTCTGTAGACATTCATTATAAATGTTATGTTAGTTATTTGGCCTTTTTGATCTTTTTTTTTTAACTAGCTCAGCTCTTGTCATGCGGTACTTTCAACTCAACTTGCTGATGCCATGATGTTCCCCATTACCCAGTTTAAAGAAAGAGATCTTAAAGGTATTGAAGTCAAACTTATGTTTTTCATCAGTTGTCAGAAGATCAGTGCTTCTAAAAAGTGTATTATTCTGTACCTAAACCATTTCTGACCATAACTTCTGCCACTTTTACTTAATTCAGTCACCAGGTGTTTATAGGAGCTCTTGATAGATATTGAACTAGATACTGAAAAATATAGATAAGAAATTCCTTCCTTTTCGAAATCCTAGAGAAGATGGATAAACACATAATTATGATACTGTCTCTCTCTCTTTCTTTTTTTTTGGTACTGGGGATTGAACTCATAATCTTATGCTTGTGAGGCAGGCACAGTGCCACTGAGCTAAATACCCGGCCCCAATACTGCTGATACTGTGTTTTTTTTTTTTTTTTGGTTTTGGTTTTGGTTTTGGTACCAGGGATTGAACTCAGGACCTTGCACTTATGAGGCAGGCGGCAGCAGCACTGAGCTAAATCCCCAGTCCCAATACTGTGTCTTTTATAATTAGGGAATGAGAAGGTGCTGTAGGACTTAGAGGAGAGGGTCAGAAAGAGTTTATGAAAGATGTGAGCATTGAACAGTGGGGAGGAATTTGCCAGGGGAAGTGAGTCATTGTTCTGTTAGAGGGACTAGAGTGCACAAAAGTATGTGTTCTAGAAGTGCTTAGCTTGTTTTGTGGATAATAAGAAATTCAGTGTGGTTGCAATGTTGGATATACAGTACTGGGGTAAAGTAGGAGAAAATTTAGAAATAGATTAGATTATGCTAAAAATGTTGAGCCTGAGTTTATGAGCAAAGAGAAATACCAGGGGAGGTGTTTAAAGATTAAAGAGAGATAATGTTTTTGTTTTTTGGAGGAAGAAATAAAGTAGATTTTGTGTCTAGGAGATTGGACTAAGATGTGAGAGTCCAGTGATGTATGACCAAGGCCTGAGTTGGGATAGTGGAACAGAGAGAGTGTAGAGATTTGTTTGGGCTAGGCTGCTGGGAGAAGTATGGAGCCGGCACATCTTACAACTTAGTGGCTTTGTAGTTTGTAGATTTTTTGCCCATTTACTGTTACTAGGTGGTAAAATGAGGATTTCATAGAATTGGATCTTCTTTTTCATAATTTATAAATTTAGTCATATAGACTTATTTCTAAAATAGTCAGAATAAAAACAATTAACCAATAATGTATCAGTCATTTGTAAAAAAGTAAACATTGAATAAAAACAAATGTATTGCTGAGATGGAGTAAATAATTGTAATGATCCTTAAGAATGATTATTTCAAAGGTCAAGAAACAAGAATTTTTTCTCCATCATATAAGGGGACTGATTGGCCTAATCTTATTAATAAAACGTGCTTTTTTCCGTTCAACATTTGAAGTTATTAAAGTCATATGTCAAAACTGGGGATTTAACCTAGTGGTCCCATCGCCTGCCTCGCAAGTACAAGGACCCGAGCTCGATCCCCGGTACCAAAAAAAAAAGAAAAAAAAAAGTCATATGTCAAAAAATGAATTAATAGGCACTAAGTCAGAATATCTGCAGAGCTAACACAACAATGGGTTTTAAAGTTTGTTTTGTGTTATATTATTTGTATTGAGTAGATTTTTTTGTTGGTGTAATTGTTGCCAATGAGAGTAAATGTTTCATAGACTAGCAGGCAGGTATAGTAATTTTACACTTTAAGAGTGGAAATATAAAGTATTGTATAGAGTTTTAATTGCGGTTTTAGTGGCATTTATTGCTTTGTAAACTTTAAAGTATTTAATAAATATGCTAAACAGAAATTCTTGAACTTTTTCAGAAATTCTAACATTAAAAGAAGTGTTTCAGATTGCTAGTAATGGTAAGCCCTGAATACTTTATATACTTATTTTTTTATTGATCCATTTATCAGTATATAGCGTGATTCTTTGTAATAATAATTGAAAAAAAATGAACCTAATTAAAAGCTTTCGTGAATATTATTTAAATCAATGTTACTTCAATACCCTTCTTACAGGAAACATTTTAAAGGCTTATTGCATCAGTCTTCTAGTTTATTATCTTCATAATGTCTAAAGAGGTAGTATAATACTTTACCTTCCTTATTTTTCTATATATTCCAATTTTTATTTAATGAGCATTTGTTATTTTTGGACTAAACATACTTTAAAAAACTTTTAGTGTATTATAGTTTCCTTGGAATTGTTTTTATTTACCAGTTTGATAAACATAATTTAGCGGAAACTTGGCTGTGGGGAAATTTGAATATGATGATCAAGTGGTAGGAAATTCTTGTTTTAGTACATTTGCAGAAAGATGCATGTGTTCAGAACATTTAGAGCATTTATAGGTTTTGCAGAGTACTGTTGATGGTTGTCAGCACTCATTTCTGCCTTCTAGATCATGATGCTGCAATTAACAGATACAGCCGATTGTCCAAAAAAAAAGAAAATGATAAGGTAGGGTACATACATGCTCCCTCACAATTAATGCTGTTTCCTTAGACGGTCTAGTTTTCCCTGTTTAAAAATACAGCCAGCAGTTCATGTGTATGTTTTGCCCCCCCACCCCCACCCCGTACTAGGGATTGAACTCAGGACCTTGTGCTGGCTAGGCAGGCACAGTACCACTGAGCTGCATCCCCATCCCTGTTGTGCTGTATTGCATTTAGTTTGTTTGTTTGTTTGTTTTAAGAATAAAAACATTTTGGGGCCAGGGATGTAGTTCAGTGGTTCTGCCGCCTACCTTGCAAGCGCAAGGACCCGAGTTCGATCTCTGGTACCAAAAAAAAAAAAAAGAATAAAAACATTTTATCGTTTTAATTTTTAAGTTTTTTGTATTTACATTATTCTTTACTGCTAGTGGTTTAAAAGCTCTTTAATAATTGTTGGTCTCTTTTAACAAAATACTTTTCTTCTGCCAGAATTTGTTCTTATAATTGAACATAACTATTCTAAAACTAGAATTGATGCCTGGTATCTTATTTACTGATGCCTCTTATTTATTGATGCCCAGTATCATACTGCCTCTTTTTGCTTTGCATTTTGATAGCAGTGGATACATTGTTTTCATTTGACCATATATGTATTCAGAAATGTCTTGTAAAATATTGTGGTCAAAAAAAGTTGAGTTGTTACATACACAATTCAAAGAAATTCTTTTATGAAGCCCTCTTCATTTAAAGGGTTATTTGTCTTTTGATAATTCAGGAGTGAAGTCCAGACATATTTTACTGTATTTGAGGAGAAATGCAGTCAAGTAAGGATTAAAGAACAGAATGTTAACAGGTTCATCTGGGTGTTGCTTAAGATCAGCTTTCTCTGCAGTGCCTAATCCAGAGCTTGCTGTATAGGCCTTCCTAGATGCTGAGAGTGAGGGCATCTCTATGCCTGGGACTTGGTGTCTGTAGCCTTGGCTGCTGCTGCTGGTAGAAACACAAGTGACTGCCTGTGGGAATCCATGTAGCATAGTATTTACTGTGCACTAGCCACTGTGATGATGAATGGAATGTCCAAAGATAAACTGCTTGATGGTGCAGATACTGATAAAGTATGTACATTTGAGATCTCTGTTAGTCATCTTGCTTTAGAGAAGTAGTTAAAGGCCCTATGTAGAAGACATATTCGAGAGGCCCTGAGTTTGATTCCTAGTACCAAAAAAAATATTTTTTTGGCATATTTTTTACATTCCCTCTCACTGTTCCAAGTCTTCTTAAAAAACATTCTTTCACCATTTTTTTTTGGTACCAGGGATCGAACTCAGGTCCTTGCGCTTGCGCAGCCGGTGGCGAAACCACTGAGCTAAATCCCCAACCCTCTTTCACCATTTTTTTAATGTAAAAAATTATTGAGCACCTGCTTTATATCTAACAGTATGTTGAAGGAACAATATAAGTAGGTTCCAGTCCTGCCCGGAAGTAGATACTCCACATTTATTGAAGGCTTTTGTGTAAATGTATATGACAGGCCTAAGTGCCTGAGCACACGAATGAAGAGAAGGCATGGACTAGCATGAATTAAATGCAAAAATAGAGGTTTTACTAAAATGCTAAAAGCACAGAAGGGCTTTGATCGATGAATTGGGAAATACTGCACTTTTAGAAGGTGCCATTTGCCCTGAAGATAAGTGGATATCATTGATGAGGTTCGAGAGAGAGAGTGTTCTTAAACAAAAGCCTTTCCAGAGGCATATGATGGAGTTGGAGAATGTAAAGGTTGGAAGTGCTTGCCCTGGAGTTAGACTGGGAACAAACCTCAGTTCTGCCACTAATTTGCCTGAAGTCATGTACTTCTACTTAATTCCAAACCTTTATTTTCCTATAAAAAAAAAACCCCACAGTATTTTGTGAAAATGAAGTTAGGTAATGCATGCAGAGTATTTGTCTTATAGCAAATTTTCATTAAATTCTCGCCATAATTATTTTGGTGATGATTAAAAATAATCATTGCAGTGTGTCTGAAACATTGGAGATCTTTGGGGAGATGTAGCAGAAATGACAAAAGAGAAGTAGTTGAGGCCAGATTACTGTAGTAATGACCTGGAAATTTGTGTTAGAGGAAATGAGCAGCCACCAAAGGATTCTAAGACGGTAAATGATACCATATAGTTATGTTGTAGAACAGAAACATTAATGAAAATGAGAAGAGCCCAAGACCAAAGGGGATCCAATGAAAAGGTTTTAGAATAGTTTGCAAAGACATATAAATGTCTCAAATAATGTTATTATTATTATTGGGTTTTTTTGTGTGTGTGTGACAGGCAGGGTCTCACTATGTAGTTCAGGCTGGCCTTGAACTCATCACTATGTAGCCCAAGCTGGTCTTGAACTCAGTGATCCTCCTGCCTCAGCCTCTCAAATAATGTTATTGAAAGAGGACAGGAAGGAGTACTTTCCACAGTACTATGAATTGACCCCAGGGGAGTTCTACCACTGAGCTATATCCCCAGCCCATTTTAGTTTTTATTTTTATTAAAAAAGTTTTTTTTTTGTACCAGGGATCAAACTCAAGACCTTGTGCTTACCAGGCAGGCGCTATGCCGCTGAGCTAAATCCCTGGCCCTTTTTTTTTTTTTTAATTTTTAATTTTTTTGTTTTTTGAGACAGGGTCTTCCTTTGTAATTCAGGCTGGCCTTGAACTATGTAGCCCAGGCTGGCCTTGAATGCTCAGCAGTCCTGCCTCAGCCTTCTGAGTGGTAGGATTACAGGTGTGTGCCACCATCCCGGACTTTATTTTTTTATTTTGAAGTAGGATCTTATTAAGTTGTCCAGGCTGGCCTTAAAAATCAAGAACTTTCAATCCTCCTGCCTCAGCCTCCCTCGTAGCTGGGATTAAAAATGTGTGTCACCACTCCTGGCTGGGAGATATTTCATAAGCAAAGACTTTTGGTTAGGGGGAATAAAAAGTGAATGTTAGAATGTTTGGATAAGTGATGGGTCCTGGAGTAATTAAGAGCTAAGAAATAAAATAGAAGAGCAGGTTTTTAGGGAAGATACAGTTTTGCCTTCTGTTCTGAAAATTTCCAGTACATAAATACACATGTATCAACACATGTATCTCACACACACACACACACACACACACACACACACAGGAGATGTTTCCTCTGGCACTAGGTAGAGTGAGGACAGGAGATAAAAATTTGTGATCACTAAGTCATTGGTATATTGGAATATGTTTGGTACTTGATAGGTATTCTAAGAGAGGAAGAAGAGAGAAGAACCTAATGCATGTTATATAATTGTTTAATAAATATCAATTGTCTGAATAAAAGAACTTAGAACACATATTTTAAGAATGAGTAAAGGAAGATAAGCAATTTGAAGAGAGGAAGAGTGGTAGGTAGAGAACTAGGAGGGAGAATATATGCTGAAAACTGACTGAAGTCAAAGACTAATGGCTAAGTTAACTAACAACAGTCTGCCTTTCTTTCATGTGCCAGACTTACTCTGCCTTGCCTATTTTAGATATTTACATCTTTAATGATAGGCAGATATGGATCATAGTAATGATATGGTTGATAGTTAAAAAGGAAAGTTAGCTTAGCCAATATTTTTTTTTTTTTTGGTACCGGGAATCAAACTCGGGTCCTTGCACTTGTGCAGCAGGTGGCGAAACCACTGAGCTAAATCTCCAGCCCTTAGCCAATATGTTTAAGGATTTCTAATAGATTAGAAAACAAAAGTTATGTTCAACTGGTAGTGATAACAGTATTTTCCTTGGTAGGTTTTGCCCCATAGATAACTACTGAAGATAATTCAAAATTAAGTGCATAATAGTATTTTAAATCTTTTCATTCAAAGGTGAAGTATGAAGTGACAGAAGATGTGTACACTTCCAGAAAAAAACAACACCAAACCATGATGCATTATTTTTGTGCATTAAATACTCTTCAGTACAAGAAGAAAATAGCATTATTAGAACCTCTACTTGGGTACATGCAAGCTCAGGTACATACTATACTATATTTTGGATTATAAGTGTCCTGATATTTACATTAAATGTAAGAATATTACAAGCTATTGCCAGTATCCTCATTTGTGTCTGGGTTCTAAAAAATAATTTTAAAATGTCATCAATGTATTAAGGAAGTTGGGGAGAGTCATTTTCCCTTGAAAATAAAGATTTCAAATGTTTCAGAGAACATGAAACCACTTACATTGTATTTTGTCCTTGTCAACACAGTTGGGAACAGGAGCAGAAAACTAAATGAATTACAGGGCCAGGGATGTAGCTCAGTGGCACCACGCCTGCCTGGTGATGCAAGGTCCTGAGTTCGATAATGGGTACTGGAAAAGAAAAGAAAACTAAATGAATTACAGAGTTCTACCTATTGCTGTAGCTTCCACTCATTCTTGGTGCACAATCTGAAAGAAAATGCACAAGTTTGAGTTTGTTCCATGGTCCTGAGTTAAAAATGGTAGATAAACTCTCAAGTGCTCAAAGAGATAGGCATCAGGAGGGAAGCTAGAAAATGGAGTTTTGAGCAATATAAGATAAGATGTTAGTTCCTTAAAAATCAAGAATTTAAGAAACATGAATATTCCTTCAGTTATAAAAGTATTTGCTATTCTTCAGATAAAAAACTTATCATTGTAGTAAACATGAAATAGTTTATGCATATGATTTATTTCAGTGCTCTAAAATTTCCAGTTTGAAAAAATTGTTTACCATACATTTGTTTTAGTTTTCTGTTAAAAAGTATAAAAGGATGTACAGTAGAATTTAATTCTAGTTTCCTTAGTGCCTTTGTGTCCAGTACAGGTTGCAAACTACAACCTATTATTACACAAATGACATAGACAGATGAAACAGCCCTTTGTTGTTGCTGTTTTTACTTAACCATGTATCTTGGAGATTGCTTATGTGCTTTATTTAAATACTTAAGTAATTTTTTGTATGTGTTTGTGTTTATATCCATTCTTCCTTCATCTCAGATAAGTTTCTTTAAGATGGGTTCTGAAAATCTCAGTGAACAACTGGAAGAATTTTTAGCTAATATTGGAACAAGTGTGCAGAAGTAAGTATTTTTTTCCTTAAGATTGAAAATGAAGTGTAGTTAATAATTTAACAGTTAAATGCCAAAATTTACAAGTATTTTCCATTTAATTTCCTGAGGGAGTATTTCCTCTACTGTGTTTCTCATATGGTTTGTGGATGCTTCTTTTTTCTTTTGCCACATTTTCTCTAGATGAATTTCTCTTAATTTCATAACAGTGTCAAATTTAATGACAGTTTTCCAGGGCTAGCTTTTATATCTAAGTAAAATAGACATAGGGCTGGGGATTTAGCTTAGTGGTTCTGGCACCTGCCTTGTAAGCACAAGGTCCCAAGTTCGATCCTCAGTACCCCCCACCCCCCACCCCCCAAAATAGACATGTAGTAATAATTATCCATAAGTGAAATTATCTTTACACTCCATAATGGGGGGTGTGGTGGGGAGATTACTAACTAAATCTTGTTTTCTTATTTCTTTATTTATTTATTTATTTATTTATTTTTCTGGTACTGGGGATGGAACTCAGGACCTTGTGCTTGCGAGGAAGGCGTGGTGCCACTGAGCTAAATCCCCAACCCTAAATCTTGCTTTCTAAGCCATCAAAGTTTAGATGGAGAAAGTAGTGTTCTCTTTGAGTTTGACAGTTTGAGCAGTGATATGGTCAGTCATAGGCGTGGAGAGAGATCAAAATGACTTTTTCCCTTTTGGCAGTGCTAGAGATCCAACCCAGGGCCTCAAGCTGCTAGGTACCTGCTATACCACTGTGCTCTGTCTCCCCTGCTTGAGAATGTGTTTTGTGGTTTGTTTGTTTTTTGAGACAAGATCTTACTTTGTAGCTCAGGCTGGCCTTGGGCTCACTAGGTAGCTCATGTTGGCCTTGAACTCTCAGCAATTCTTTGTCAGCCTCGCTAGTGTTGGGATTATAGGCTTGTGCTACCACACCCAGTGATGATTGTGTTTTAAAGGCACAGGACCTAGCAGTTTGAAAAGGCTTCCAAGAGTGTGGCCTTCAGCATGGCTTAATCAGTTTTTGGATTTAGTATTGCCTTCAAAGTATCTAAATACATTAGTATTACTTTAACTACCTGTGCTACTGCTTTTCTCTTTAAGAAAATATGTACAAAACAAATATATAGGCAAACCTGATTGCTAGGAGTTCTTTGTTGGTTTGACTGGTAGTAAATAATCTGTTCTCTGTTTTAGTGTTCGCAGAGAAATGGACAGTGATGTGGAGACTATGCAACAGACAATAGAGGATTTGGAAGTAGCCAGTGACCCTTTGTATGTGCCTGACCCAGACCCCACCAAATTTCCTGTTAACCGAAATTTAACCCGAAAGGCTGGATACCTTAATGCTAGGAAGTAAGAAAATTGTTATTATTTTCATATATTGTATATCTTGCAAGGTAATGTCAAATGATATTATAATTTATAATATAATGTATAATTGATATGTCAAGTTGTTTTGTCTGCCAAGTTCTGATTTTACTAAAGGTAAAATTTTTAGTGGGACTAGTATTTATGTGAACTCATTGAGAGATAAGGTACATTAATACTGTTCAAAGTAAAATTCTACCTATTTATTTATTGCATAAATTAGAGTTATAAAAGAAGTAAAACTAATCTGAGCTTAAATAAATCTATCACAACATGAATACTATTAGGTATCATTTATATGGTTTAAAATATACATAATTACAACATCAGGTCAGATTTTAGTGTTCACCTTAAGAGAGGATAAGGGGTAAAGTAAGAGTATAATACAATCTTTCGTTTTGAATTTATTTCCTTGGAATATTGGACTGTAACTTAAATTTTATGAGTCATCATTATAACACAGCTGCAATTTGATAATTTCCAGCCTTGGCTTGGAAACTGCACACATTCAAATATAAATTGATTTAGAGTTTTTGTTGACATTTCAGTGCTTTTTTTGCAAGCTGATTGTTTGCAACATGCATTGCCCTGGGGTTGGCTGATAAGGTCATTTTAGGTGTGTCACTATTAAAATGTGAATGTACTTTCTTCCTAGTAAAACAGGCTTGGTGTCATCTACTTGGGATAGACAGTTTTACTTCACACAGGGTGGAAACTTAATGAGCCAAGCCCGTGGAGATGTAGCAGGAGGCCTGGCCATGGACATAGATAATTGCTCAGTGATGGCTGTGGACTGTGAAGATAGGCGATACTGTTTTCAGATCACTTCTTTCGATGGAAAAAAGTTAGTATTTTTTTCTACTATTAGTAAAATCTCTAATATTTTAAACTACTGAAATGTAGGGTAATTCCTTTTGGGCAGAAATGTTATAGATATTTTAGATTCACTGTGTATTAAGATAATTTGGTTTTTAATCTTATAGAAATGAGTTGAATTTTCTGACTTGCTCAAATGGTAATATACCTGTGATTTCATGTTAAGAGACTGGTCACTGGAAATCTTGCATAGCATGGGGATGACAGCACAAATTAATAAAGAATGTCACCTGCAGGGTCATAAAGTTTCAACTGAATTCCTTCCTTACTCTGTGGTAAGACAAGTTACTCACCCCTTTCAGTCTTTGTTTTGGTCCCTGTAGAATGTAGGTAGGGAGTTGTAATTGCTACTTTTAAATTATTGGGAAGAATAGAAATCTAGGGCCAGGAATGTAGCTCAGTGGTGCAGCATGTACCTGGCAAGAATGAATCCCTGAGTTTGATTCCTGGTACCAAAAAAAAAAACAAAAACAAAACACAACTGGGCTGGGGATTTTGCACAGTGGTTCCACCGCCTGCTTTGCAAGCGCAAGGTCCTGAGTACAATCCCCGGTACCAACAAAAAACAACTAGCATATGTTTAGCATATAAAAGGGGTATTAAATATTAATTAAATACTCTGATCAGATTATTTTGTCCATTAATGTTTATGATGCCCCTTAAAAATTCTATTACTTTTCCATTAGGTGAAAATCTATAAAGTAGTACTTAGAGCAATTTTTGAAAAGCCTGGAGAAATATAAAAAGGAGTAGTGGCTGGGTGTGGTGGTACATTCTGTAATTCCATCACTGAGGAGGATAAGGTAGCCCAGCCTGGGCAGCATAGTAAGATACTGTGGAACAATAAAAAATAAAAAAGGGCTGGGAATGTAGCTCAGTGTGAAGGCCCTGGATTTAATCCCCTGTACCACCACTACCCGAAACAAAAACAGAAAAACAAAACAAAGGGGGTAGGAGTGGGGAGAACAACTTAAAATCTTATTAACCAGAAAACAATAGTTAACTTTTTTTTTGGTACAGGGATTGAACTCGGGTCCTTGTGCTTGCGCAGTAGGCGGCAAAACCACTGAGCTAAATCCTCGGCCCTAATAGTTAACTTTTGTTTGTTGCCTTCCAGTTTTTATCTTGAGCACTTTATTTTTTTTTTGCTACCAGGTATTGAACTCAGGACCTTGCACTTGCAAGGCAGGTAGCGGAACCACTGAGCTAAATCTCTGGCTCCAGAGCACTTTTTTTTAATGGTGTTCGGAAATGAACCATGGGCTACATCTTTGGGTTCCCGGAAAGTCAATTTCCCCCTGTATTTATGCAAATTAAGATATTTTGTTGTTTGTTTGTTTTGGTACCGGGGCTCCAACTCAGGACCTTGGACTTGTGAGGCAGGCGCCAGAACCACTGAGCTAAATCCTGGCCCTAAATTAAGATATTTTGAGGCAGTTCTCATAGCACATGCCTGTAATCTGAGCTATTCAGAAAACTGAGGCAGGAGAATAGTATGTTCTAGAGTATCCTGAGACCCTGTCACAAAAAAATTATGAAAATAAATAAATTCAACCTTTATCCCTTAAAAATAGATAATATAGCCAACTAACTTATCAAAATGATTGTTTAATTTCATATTCCTCCTATAAACATAATGAATGCCAGTACTGTGTGTTATTACACTAGATGTTAGGAGTGCCTGTGTTCATTTATCATGATTACCACAGGGATCAGGCATTTAGCTCAGTGGTTACGCTGCCTGCCTCGCAAGCACAGGGTCCTGAGTTTGCCGGTACCAAAAAAAAAGATCACCAAATTGTGAATATTCTAATTACCGGTACTTATATTTTTGTAGTTTTAGTTTTTGCTAATGCTTAACATCTTGGTATGATTCAAAACTAGTAAAAAAAATTTTTTCTGTAACTTAAAATATTAACATCTATAGAAATGCCAAATATTGAAATGTTAGTAATTCCATATTGGAATTTTGATTTAACAGTATTAAAGGAGAAACTAACAATAATGAAGCTAATATTTTCTAGTAAGGTCACCAGGAACTTCCAGTCTGTTGTCTCAGTCATAGTGTACCTCCATGGTCTGTCTTCTAGGTACCTGCATCTGTTTCTGTTATTGGTGCCTCTTGGCCTACATTGCGAAAGTCACAGTTGTTAAAGCTTTAGTTCTAATGCCTCTCTGGTGGTCTTCTTTTCTTAAAATATTGTTGATTGTGTGTTTTTGTTTTTGTTTTTAAAATTATGGCTGAAACTTCATATTTTTTCTTTTTAGATCTTCAATTCTGCAAGCAGAGAGTAAAAAAGACCATGAAGAGGTAGATTTTTATCTTGTTAATTTCTTCAACCACATTTAAAAATACTTTTTTGAAGGCAAAACATATTAATGTTATCAGTATAGAAATTTTGGAAAATCTTAATGAGTTACAAATCTGTTTTTTAGTCTTTTTGTTTTCAAACAACATTCTTAAGTTTCTCAAGAATTTTATAGTTTGAGGGACCGTAAAGATAATCTCTGCTCCCTTAAAGGCAAAAATACAGCAGTGACTGTTGCCTTCTGTCAGGCTGTTAGTTTAATGAGGTAATAGTTTAATTTATTCTTTTCTCTTGCCAACTCTTTGAGACACTGTGTGGCAAGAAGCAAGAATGTATTGGCAGCAGATGTGGCATGGCAGGAAGCAACTAAAGCTTGAAACCTTGGGGAAATTAAAGACAGAAAAACAAAAATTTGGGAGTCTCTGTTTTTCCTCACAAGTCTTTCCATTCTTACTCTAATTATACCAAATGTAGAAGGCAAGGTACTCCCAAGGACTTTCATTTCACTCTTTTTTTCTTTTTTTTTGGTACCGGGGATTGAACTCAGGTCCTTGCGCTTGCACAGCAGGCAGCGAAACCACTAAGGACTTTCATTTCAGAAACTTTGTTTTGAGAAATATTCTTCCATGAAAATATACCATAGTTTGACTTTTAGCCTTTTTATCTAGTATTATAATTATGTTGGTAAAGAAAAGTTGGAAATTATGTAGAGATTTACCTTTATTTACTTCTCATGGAAAAGAGTTCCTATTAAAACTTGCTTTTGGTTTCTGAGCAATACAAATATCTCTGCTCTCTGCATGGTTTACCAAACAAAATATTAGATTAGTGGCGAGGCTCATCAGACACTGGAATCCTTGAGTGTGAAGCAGAAGATATAGGAGAGAGAATGTTTTCTGTGTTGAAAGAAGAGAAGTAAAATATATTCACCAGAAAGCTGTTTAGATGTTTCTCTCTCTTTTTTGCATTATTAATTGTATCTCAGTTCAGACTGTCTTGCTTGGGTAGGAATTAAGAGAAGTAATATAAAAAGATACATGTAGACTCTTAAATTGTAATTTAGCACGATTACTATACTTTTAATGTATGGAATAAAATAGGGATTTTAAAAATAATCTGCTGACTGCACTCTTAGATACATATGTTTATAGCAAGGTTTTTTTCTTGGTTTTGTTTTGTTTTGTATTTGGTGCTAGGGATTAAACCCAGGGTATTGAGCATGCTAAGCATGTACTCTACAGCTGAGCTATACCCCCAGCCCCAAGGTATTTTCTTGTGAGGATTATATGTTACTTCTAATGAAACTTCTATTTCAGCTAACTATTGGACATTCTCCTTTAGAAGAGAAACGTTAAAAAATATTTTTTTTTTTTGGTACCGGGGATCGAACTTGGGTCCTTGCAGAAAAATATTTTTAATCATATTTTTTCTTTTTTTCTCTTCCAGTGGATTTGTACAATTAACAATATATCTAAGCAAATATACTTAAGTGAAAATCCAGAGGTAATATTTTTATTTTGCATTACCCAGATTTAGCAAAACTGAATAATTCTGTGATTTATATAGCTTTTAGTAGAGTTATAATTTCTCAAGTTTTGTAATCTTGACTTTTAGCAGGTAGCTTTTAAATTTATCATGTATGTTCTGAGTGATCGACTTAGAACAATATATTATTTCAAAAGACAATAAAATTATTCGGTCAACAAATATTTACTGGATGTTGGCTATTTAGCTCTGAAGTGAGTACCATAGAATAGAGAGATGAAGAAGAAAAATAAGCCATGGCCTCTGCCCTCCAGGAGCCTGTTGGTAATGGTGAGATGGAACCAAATTTTAGCTGGACGTTGTGGCACATACCTGTAATTCAACACTCTGGGAGACTGAGGGAAGAGGGTCACAAGTTCATCTCTCACCTGGGCAACTTACTGAGTTAGTGAGAACTTCTCTCAAAATAAAAATACAAAGGGTTGGGGATGTAGCTCATTGTGAAGGTCCTGGGCTCAATAAGGTTGTGCTGAAAGCTATGAAGTGATGACAAGATTTTCTTTTGAAAATGTTAACATGAGTGTAGATGTGAGCTTTAGAGAAAGTTCTGTGGAGATGTTGGAAGTCGTTTAGCATTTGTGTTTTGAGAAAAAGAAAAGATATGGTAGATAAGAGAACAAAAATATAAATGCAGAGGATTTTTGGGGGGTTTTTTTGGGTACTGGGGATCGAACTTGGGTCCTTGAGCTTGCGTAGCAGGCACTGAAACCACTGAGCTAAATCCCTGGCCGGGTTTTTTTTTTGAGACAGGGTCTTGCTATGTATTTTAGGCTGGGCTTGAACTCACAGCAGTCTACCTCAGCCTCCCAAGTTCTGGGATTACAGGCATGCGCCACCATGCCTGGTTTAGAGATTTTTTTTTTTTTTTTGAAACTAGTAGTATAATTAGAGGTTGTTAATGAAGAACAATAGAAAACTGAAATGTGCTTACAAATAACGTGGGGATCTTGTTAAAATAAATACACATTATAATGCAGCCTGAATTCCTAGTTTTGCAAATTATTCCTTGGTTAGCAAGATTATCAAACCTGATGAATCCTGCAGTGTAGATGTAGCCATTGGAACAGTCCACACAGCAGGCAGAACCCAGGGTTACTGACTACTATGGAAGGAATCGGGTGTGTCCATACTGAAGAGTATGTAGTTAGGAAAAACATGGCCCTAGGATAGGAGCTGTCTAAACTTCCATTTTTATGGACCTGACTGCCCTGAACCCAGGTGCTTTCCAGGACTGGCCAGAGTGTGATGATGTCAGTTGAAAGATGTCAGCTAAATCTTAAACTACTGTTGTTACAGTGGGTTAGACGGGAGGGTCTAGACTGGTTGGTAACTGATTGATGTAAAAGATGAAGGATATGCGTAAGGTAAAGATGTCTTCCAGGTTTTAAACCCAAGTGAAGAGAAGAGCATCTTGGAGAAGGAGTTTGTTTTTATCAAAATGGCTCTGAAGTGCCAGCCAGGACACATACATCCCCAGGAAGAAGTTGAACAAAATCTCATGACCTCCAAAATACTTTTTTCTTTTTTGGTACTGGGGATCAAACTCAGGACCTTGTGCTTGCGGGGGCAGGCGACGTAACCACTGAGCTAAATAAATCCCCAGCCAACTTTTTTCTTTTTTGGTACCTGGGATCGAACTCAGGACCTTGTGCTTTTGAGGCAAGCAGTGGCACCACTGAGCTAAATCCCTGGCCCCAAAATACTATTTTTTGTTTTTGTATGTATTAATGTGTGTTCTTTTTGGTTTTTTTTGTTTTTTTGGTACCGGGGATTGAACTCGGAACCTTGTGCTTGCAAGGCAGGTGCCGGAACCACTGAGCTAAATCCCCGGCCCATATCTTTTATCATGTCAAGTTCTTTTTTTTTTTTTTTTTAATGGTACTGGGGATTGAACTCGGGTCCTTGCACTTGCACAGCAGACGGCAAAAGCACTGAGCTAAATCCCCGGCCCTTTGTATGTATTGGTTATTCAGCCCAGGGCCTTTGCACTGAGCTATATCCCCAGTCCTTTTTTATATTATTTATTGATAGATTGATTGGTACTGGGGATCAAACTCTGGACCTTGCGCTTGCAAGGCAGGCAGCAGCACCACTGAGCTAAATCCCTGCCCCTTGTCCTTTTTTATTTTGTTTTTTTTGGGGTTTTTTTGGTACTGGGGATCAAACTCAGGACCTTGGACTTTCGAGGCAGGCACCAGAACCACTGAGCTAAATCCCCAGCCCTCCTTTTTTATTTTGAAACAGGATCTTTGTAAGTGGCTTAGGCTAGGTTTGAATTTGTGATCCTCCTGCTTCATTCAGTCTCACAAAGTGCTGAGATTCGAGGTGTGTGCCACCATATTGTTTATGCCCTCCAGAATATTAGTAATTTATTAGTCTTTTAATAACCTTAATTTTAATGTTAGAAAATCAGTGTTAATGGTAAAAACACCTTTTGCTTTTAGTCGATCTCCTTTCTGCCAATCTATTTTTGCTTTTGTAAGATCACCTGAGAGCAACAAAAAATAAAATTAAAACACTTTCATTGCCTGGGTAATACCTAAGGAGTACAGTGTTTGCATTTGAATAATTCACATCTATAGTGCTTTCCTACCAATTATCAAAACTCTGTTAGTATTTTCAGGTTATCCAGGATTGTTATGGCTGTGTTAATAAAAAATAGAAATTTTAATCAGTTTGTGGCATTATATTGGTATTTTTGCTAACTGTAAGACAGAGATGTAAAACTGTTGTGATTTTTTTTTCTAATTTAAAGACCGTTTTTTAAAGTTGTAAATAATTACAAAATTTATCATCTTAATCTTAGGTTGTATAGGTTAGTGTTAACTATGTATACATTGAAATAGATCTTTAATAAAAATGCCATTTTAAAAGAATGCCGTTTTTTAGCTGTTATTGTAAATGAAACAGTTTAAAATTATTTCATATGAAAAATTTTCTTTAAAGTTTTGAAAATATCCATGATAATTTTATTTATTTATTTATTTATTTATTTTATTTTTTTGTGGTACTAGGGATCAAACTCAGATCCTTGTACTTGTGCAGCAGGCTGTGAAACCACTGAGCTAAATCCCTGGCCCTCCATGATAATTTTATAAAGTAATAAATATATAGAGATTTCTGAGCATAAATATATTCTGGCAAATTATGAAAAATTTACCAGCACAGTTAAAAAATAACAGCTTTCATATTTTGTGAATATTTCCTACTCCTAAATTTCTTTATTAAATGTATTGAATGTCATGGTGCCACTGTGCTTGGTGCTAGCAATAAGGGCTGAATTCAGAATATCTGGTGGTAGCCAGGCATGGTAGTGTAGGCGTGGTGGCGCAAGCATGTCGTCCTAGAGTTCGAGGCCAGCCTGGGCTACATACTGAGTTCAAGACCAGCCTAAACTATATAGTGAGACCCTGTCTCAAAGAAACAACAACAAAAAATATTTGGTAGTTAAAAATTTATAGAAAAAACTTTTTTTATTATATATTACTAGAAGAAAATAGTTATTTTTCTAGATTATTGGAAGTAAGAAACTTAAATAAGTTTATTTATTTATTTGTTTATTATTTGATTTTTTAGACAGGGCCTTGGTACGTAGTCCAGGCTGGCCTTGAACTCACTATATTATATGTACCCCAGGCTGGCTTGGAACTTTCGGCAGTCCTCTTGCCTCAGCCTCCCAAGTGCTGGGATTACAGGTGTGTGCCACCATGCCTGGCTGAAATTGAAATTTATAATGTGAAATTATGTACCTTAATAAGACGAGAATGTAGAACTACTTTAATAGCTTTAGTTGGTACTTTAAGCATTATGACAATTCAGAAAACTGTACTCAAGTTTTTTGGTTTCTTACATTACTAATATTTATGCTTTAAAAACAAAATCAAAATAGGAAACTGCTGCACGAGTAAATCAGTCAGCTCTGGAAGCTGTCACTCCTTCCCCATCTTTCCAGCAAAGACATGAGAGCCTGCGGCCAGCAGGGTGAGTTCACAAACTGAGTTATTTAAAGAGCTATATGGGCTATTAGAAATGTTAGTGGGTGCTTTGATTTTAGCATCACTAATGTTAGTTCTAACAGGTACTTGAACATCAGAGAAGGTGTATTTTCAAAGCAGTAAATTTACTAGTATGGGTGCTAATTAAATGATTTCAGTTTCCTTAGTTTTTCCAGTTAAATCTCTAGATTGAGGTGACTTAAGTTTTTGAGTTTAACTGGAAAGACAGATGTCTGTTGTTAAATAGCTATGATTTGGGATTGTGTTTTTATTAAAATTATTGGCTTAAAATACTGTTTTCTTTTTTTATAGTTTATTATATGATTTCCAAAAGAGAAAACCAAACGCTCTGCCTTCTGTTTTTGTGTGTGTGTGTTTGTGTGTGTGTGTTTAGACCATCTCGGCCACCAACAGCTCGAACTAGCAGTTCAGGATCCTTAGGATCTGAGTCCACCAGTTTGGCTGGCCTCTCTTTGGATTCTCTTGTTGCCCCAGACACCCCAATACAGTTCGACATCATTTCCCCTGTGTGTGAAGATCAGCCTGGTCAGGCAAAAACCTCTGGCCAGGGGGGCAGGTGAGTTATGGCATTATGGGACATTGTGCTATGCTTTTTTTTTTTTTTTGGCGGTGTGGGGGATCGAACTCAGGACCTTGCGCTTTCTTTCAAGGCTGGCACAGTGCCACTGAGCTAAATCCCCGGTTCTGTGGTATGCTTTATAAGATTTATGATTCTATTTCTACATTTGAATCATCGCTTACACACCATGTGCATCAGAGATTGTATACTTTTTTTAATTAACTAAAATAATTTTAATAGTGAGGGGAGAATCATACATGTTTTTCTATCTTCTGCCTCAGTTAAAGAAGTTAAGATAATCTGATTCTAAAACGACTTAATTCTGAATAGCTTATCATGTCTACTTCTTAGACATATGCTCTGACAGTTGCAGAAGAAAGTTGATCTTTCAGTCAAGAATTTGAAAAATCTTAAGGATAATACATGTGCTTTAAGTTTATTAGAAAATATACTATAGTATATATAAGAAAAGTTGGCCGGGGATTTAGCTCAGTGGTGCCACCGCCTGCCTTGCAAGCACAAGGTCCCGAGTTTGATCCCCGGTACAAAAAAAAGAAAAGTTTAGGAAGTTACTAAAATATCACTGCTATGAGTTATTTGTTTGTTTTTTGTTTTTTTGTTTTTTAGTACCAAGGATCAAACTCGGGTCCTTGTGCTTGTGAGGCAGGCGGCAGAACCACTGAGCTAAATCCCCAGGCCCACTGCTATGAATTATTAATGAGTCATCTTTTGTTTGTATAAGGAATATTTTTGTCAAAGCAGTTAAATTTTTTCTTTGGCTACAGCTGCAGGAAATGTGACTTAGTGCCAAATCATTTATTAAGTAGGTTGGGGACTTAATAAGTTTGATAAACTAACTTGGATATGCATGGCTGTGACCTAGCAAAAATCATTTACATTTGATCACAGAAATGTGCTCAACATTAGCTGTACTATGTCAGGCATATATTAAAGAGATCAGTTTCCTGTTATTTTAGTGCTAACATTATTTTAGAACAACTTAGCTCTCAGTTTCCAAAATCTACTTTGAATTGTATGTATGCCACAAGCCAAGCATACTGAGGAGAGGTAGTGTCTATCTATCTATATTTTTCTTCTTGCACTGTTACTTGTACTTTGAGAAATAGAGCTTTGTTTTGCTTTGTTTTTGTTTCTTGGCAGTGTTGGGGATTGAATCCAGGGCCTTGGGCATGCTAGGGAAATGCTCTGCCACTAAAAGTAGAAAATATTCAAATCATTATATTTAATTCACAACATGTACTTAGAGAACCTAAAAGAAGGTGGCATTTTTCTCAAGCAGCTAAGATTATAGCTAAATCAGTGTTCCTCTATTAGTTTATTTAAATTCAACAACTTTTACAAGATGGTTTATTGTGATATTTGCTATGTGTGGCCAAACTTCCAATCCCTGTCTGCCTTCCAAAATGCAGCAACCCTGGGTTTAGCCTATTAATTAACTAGTGTGTGAGGGCAGAGGTTATATCATAGTAGTTTGGTCATCAGTATTATTCTTTAACAGGATAGGACATTTTAGAGCTTTTCTTTTTAAGATATATGTACAAAGTTTTGTGATTCTTAGATTTTTAATTCTGGTTTCAATGATTAGATTTCTTCTATGTGGCTCATGGTAACTGACCATTTATTCTTTTTTTTTTTTTTTTTTAACTTTTCAGGCGTACAAATCCATTTGGAGAATCTGGAGGAAGTACAAAATCTGAAACTGAAGGTAGAACAGATACACAGTATTCCTGTATTTTAGAACTACTTTTCAGTAGTAAACTCTGTGAAGAATTTGTCATTTATATCTCTTTTGCTGCTGTGCTCAATTTTAATGTGTTTTTACTTCAAAATTTTATCTAATCAGAGTTCACTTAAAACAACAGAATGTAATCTGATATAAGACATTATTCACACATCATGTAATGTCATATACTCTGACTTCATAGTCAGATTCTTTTTATTTTTTTTTCATAGTCAAATTCTTAATGTTTAACCTGTCCTGTAAGTTTTTTCAAACAGCAGATATTTCTTTTTTTTTTTCCGCAGTATCAGGGATCGAACTCAGGACCTTGTGCTTGCCAGGCAGGAGCTGCACCACTGAGCTAAATTCCTGACCCTAACAGCAGTTATTTCATTTCTGGTCCTGAGGCATAACTTTTTACTTTTTCCAGTAGCTACCTTTTTCTTTTTTTGGTACCAGAGATCGAACTTGGGACCTTGTGCTTGCGAGGCAGGTGCCGAAACCACTGAGCTAAATCCCTGGCCCCCAGTAGCTACGTTTTAAAATATATAATTCCAAACTTACAGAAAAGCTATAAGAATAATACAAGGAATTTTTTTTACCTAGAACCACATTGTTGAATGTTATCCTAATCTTTTGCTGTTCAAATTTGAGACGTTAATTTTCCTATAGCTTGAACACTGTAGTCAAGTTATTTCTAAGTATCTTCAAGTTGAATTTTTCACTGAAAATCTAAAAGGAGGCAATGTTTTATTCTTTTGGAAAAGAAATGGGTTTATAAATACATAATTACCTTATTCTATTATAGATTCTATTCTTCATCAGTTATTTATTGTCCGATTCCTTGGTTCCATGGAGGTGAAATCAGATGACCATCCAGATGTTGTGTATGAAACAATGCGCCAAATCTTAGCTGCTCGGGCCATCCATAACATCTTTCGTATGACAGAATCACATTTATTAGTTACTTGTGACTGTTTAAAGTAAGTAACCCCTCCCTAAAAAAACCTGCAGAAAAAATATTTGCATAATTTCAACTTAATTAAAGTTTGTTTTCCAAATTTAAAATTTTTATTTTAGGTTAATTGATCCACAGACACAAGTTACAAGGCTTACGGTGAGTTTATGATTAAAGTTTAAGTCCCTTTGTGCATGTGTACATCTTCTAACTTAATAAAAATTCTCATCCTGTATATTCAGGTATGATAGTATCAATTGTGATTGATCTTTAGGGCATTGTAGTTAAATGTCTGGCCATCTCCAAAAACTTAGAACTGAACATTCTGTGTAACTTAAATGAATGTGTATGCTCTGTTTTAATACTAAGTGTTTGCCCCTTAGTTAGGGAGCTTATACATCAGAGAAATTGATTAGAGAAATTTAAATGTGAATATGATTATTTTATAATTACCTCCTTGGAATATTTCATTTAATATATTTAATCATTTACTAAGTAGATGATTTTTGTTATTGAATTTGATTTTATAAAATGTGTTCATGACTAACAAAATTCACTATTCAGTAACCTCTATTATCTTTGGTAATCCAAACCAAAATAAGACATTTGTTCTTAGATTACCAATCTGTTAAGAAAATTTAATTTTAAAATTTTTTTAATAATATTTTTAAAATTTAACATATGAGTTTGTCATGAATGTGTGCTGCTGTTATGATTTGGAAGATTCATATTTACTTCTCATGTTTTCTGTGCAGTTTCCTTTGCCCTGTGTAGTGTTGTATGCTACACACCAGGAAAATAAGAGGCTTTTTGGATTTGTACTGCAGACATCAGGAGGGAGAAGTGAAAGTAATTTGTCATCAGTCTGTTATATATTTGAATCAAACAATGAAGGGGAGAAGGTACCTATCTTCAAAATGTTTCGGTTGTGAAATATATATCATAGGCACAGTTTTTACTAAAATTTCTTGAAAAAATCTCAGATTTTGAGGTGCTCTCAAGGGAGCCAAGCTGATGGGTTGGGCCTTCTGATTCAACAGACCCCTTTCTTCCAAAAAAATAAGACATTTTCAGGTTTCATCATCTTAGAGCAAGCATTAGCAGCTGCTTCCGTCATTCTTTATGGGCCTTACTATCCCAGTAATGAATTTAAGACTATGAGAAGCAGGGTACATGAAGGAGGTGAAAGCCAGTATAGAAGCCCACAGACTCAGAAGAAAACAGGAAGTGTTGGTTTTGGGCTGGAGAATCCTTAAGTCAGCTTTTATTTGAAGCAGTATAGTATTTTGAATTAGAAAGAGGCATTAGTTACTTAGATACTTAGAAGTATCAGTCACTTAGATACTTGAGATTTTTGCTTTTATGTGAGAACTGAAATTTTCTTACTTTTTTCACTTTTTAGATTTGTGATTCTGTTGGACTAGCAAAACAGATAGCTTTGCATGCTGAACTGGTAAGAATCCGAGAGATGCTTAATTTTTCAAAAATGTTAATCGGAGTAGTGTGATATGACTTTTTAGATATTAACAAGTAAATAAAATGATTATAAGGTTAACAATGGATGCTATTGCTGATACAGCATTTAGAATCTGGAAATATGTCTGCCGTAGGGTGATAATTATTGGTATGCTTTCTTGTGTATAAATATTTTTGAAAAGATTGAAAAGGTATAAAGGTCCTACTAATCAAAATGTCAAAAACTTAGTTATTTTATGTTTAATTCATTAGTTTTATTCATCTGTCTTTAGGATCGTAGAGCATCTGAAAAACAAAAAGAAATAGAGAGAGTAAAAGAGAAGCAAGAGAAAGAACTCAGTAAACAAAGACAGATTGAAAAGGTATGCAGTCCTAATGTCTCGATCTTCTCTCTATGTGGTGTTTGTGAAGACTTAAATTTAGTACTGTGACTTTCACATTTGAATTCCCAAATGAAGGTCTGTATCTCCTTACTCACCTACTTCTTAGCTGGATGATTCATAGCATAGCAGGAAAGGGTAACATCTGAATTCTCCTGGGTTTGTACAATAGCTATAGCAACTTGTAGTGTACAGTGTGACTTGCTATTAAGCAAACATACCAGAATTTTCATATTCCAGTGAGGATTGTCTCTGTCAAAACAGTTCTTTTGAGAGGCTTTACAGATTTAATTGCCATTGCTGAAAGCCATATTGTTCTGTAAGGGGAATACTGTATTTATCTGTTTGTCTATAATGTTTTCAGGAATGTCAATTCATTGTCCATTCCAAAAGGATAATTTTTAAAGTGCTTGGGAAAAAACTCACAAAAAGGGTAACTTTAATTTTCGGAGCAAATCTTGATTAAGTGATCAATGAGATTGTAAAAGCCTGTTATAGGTTGTGGCATTGACAGTAGAACAGAAGAGATGGATACCTAATGAGAACTGATCAGTTAGAGTTGGTAGTGGGTTGGATGTGTGGACAAAGAAGAGGGAAATGGCAAAGATGACATTAAAGTCAGACTTCCTCAGTAGGCTTAACGGAGAAGGTGACATCTGCTTTAGCAAGATGAATTGGACAAGGATGAAGTGGTCCAAAGAAGAGGAAGTAATGAGGTGTTGAGTGATCTGTTATGCAGTTTTCACTGGGAGAGAGATATTATGTAGTGTATAGTGAGAGATGAAGACAGCCTGAATTTAGTTGTAGGCCATAAAAAAGAAAAAGGAAAACTGTCAAGATTTTAGTTTGACTGTTAGCTCTTATAAGATTTCTAGAATGGCACCAAAGTTCACTTTGGAGTTGCATTGGTTGGGCAGAGCCTTTTTTTTTTTCCTTCATCAAATTGCCAAAATTATGTGTACATATTTCTGACAGAAAGATTGAAGTGGTTCTCAAGTATGTAATTTAACTGTACTGTTTTCCATTTGAGTGTGCAAAAAAGAACTTTGTTTATTTTCTGTCTTTCACACTAGGACTTGGAAGAACAAAGTCGGTTGATAGCTGCTTCTAGTAGACCAAACCAAGCCAGTAGTGAAGGGCAGTTTGTCGTCCTTAGCAGTAGCCAGTCAGAAGAAAGTGATTTGGGAGAAGAAGGAAAGAAGAGAGAGTCAGAAGCATAAACTTATCCTTGCTTTTTGATTGATTTCCCCCCTCCTTGGAATTGACAGTTTCTTTGGTAAAATGGCACAAGGTAACAACTATGTTGAAATGACATAAAATTTATATTTACTTGTTTTAGCTTCATTAAAAAAATAAGGTTGATTGGGAAAAAAAGGTTGAACTTTATGACTTAGGTTTACATTGACTTTTTTTCTTAAAAATAATGTAATATGCATTAACATTAATTTCACATAACTGCTTATTTCCCTGAATACATTGCTAAGGAATTATAGCTTTGCTCAAGCATTTTTTCCTTAAGTTGCCAATTTTTTATTTTGCATTGTAATTGGCCAAGCCTATAAGAAATAATTTATTCTGCAGATTCAGATATTCATGGATGTGTTCCCCCCCCTTTCATTAGGAACATTTTGCTTATAGTGAGGAAGCATTCAACTGAATAAGTTTGAAACCCTTTCTACAGAGAATTCTACACATTTGCAAATACTTTAACAATGTTAAATGTGCAGTAGAATTTGTATAAAGCCATTAGGACAGATTTTAGATGTAAGGTTTCCAGGTGTGGCAGGTGGTACTGTAGGTTTCTAGGCACTTTCTGGGATTGCTCACATTTCTCTGCTATACTGCATCTGATGCCAGGAGGAAAGAAACTTAAGTGTCTTCAGTTCAAGATGATTGATACAGGTCTTGGCATTATATTACCGTATTCTTAGTTCTCAGGTTGGGACTTCAGTTATTACTGCAGAGCAGTAATGGGTTAAAAGAAGATTTTGGAATTCATTAAACACGGAATTTTTTTGTTGTTATGCAAATACATTTTAGATTACGTGTAAAAATGTTACAGGATGATACATTGTATTTTCTGCATTGTGTGAAATAATTTTTATTGATAATCAAATGATATTTCAAAAGAAGTTCTATAACAATTATGTTCCTGCTTAAAGTAAAATTCCCAGAGTTTAGTTTAGAAAATGTAATCTTTTAGATTTCAGACTGATACTCCCAGTATTTTCATAATCCCATGTTTTGATAAAGTACTGAATCACCACTTTATATCCACAAAGGCAAATAACTAATTTATGAGCATAAAATAATTTGCACTAATTATTGTAAATACTTCTACTTTTCAAATGAGTAAAAGGTCTAATTCCATGAAAAACTGAAAAGGAGAAGAATGCCTTGTATAGTACAGAAGTTGACCAACAGAAGATTTTAGCCTGGTGCTAAGGTTAAAATGACATTTCTCTATTGCTTATCTTCTATGTCGAGACTTGATTTCTTTTTCTTTACTCAGATTTTAAACATGGTTGATGGAAATTATGCTCATGTTTCCACATGAAAAAATTTCCACATGAAATAATTGAGTAAAATATTTTATGTAAACATCTACAATTCATTATGCTAATTCATAAGGGAAAAGGTTTTTGTTCTTTGATAATGTAGTTTTAGTTCTGAATTAGAAATGGCATCTCTTTTAGTTCTTAAAATATAACTCAGCTGTTTTCACACTGTGTACATTGTTTTTTGTAGGATTGGGATAGATAATTATATATAGAATCATATATTCATTTTATCTGTGCGCCAAATGGGCATAGTGATTATTTAATACTCTTTGAAGCCTTATGTTATCAAAACATACAGTAGACATGTAGAAATATATGAAATACTCTTTGATTAAAATTTATTTTGTGCTTATTAAAGGGATGCTTTCACAATAGTGTATCATTCCTTTTGTTGAATTTGAAATTTCTGTGGTCAGTACTTCATTAGTCTCAGCAAGTCTTGCTTTTAAGACTTTTCAGATTGGTAGTATTTCTGTTTCATTAAGTCTTTTCTTTATGTAAGTTGTCACTTCACTTAGGTCAGATGAAATCTGTTGCTCCACAAAGAAGGTGGTCATCATTAAGAGGTGGTTTTAGTTGGCTGGTGCTTTGCATGGTAACAGAGTGGTGCCCTTTGTTAGCATTCTGGGTCAGAGTATTGGCTGGAGTTAAGGGTACTTGCAGCCTGGGCATGCTAGACACACTTGTAGTTCTTCTAAGTCAGATTTCATAGGAAACCTCATACGTCCTTGTCCTTGGGTCAAACCAAAATGCATTCCAATGTCAAGGAGAAGTTATGAGTAGATTCAGCAATTTTAGATGGTTTAATTTCTGTTCTAGAACTATTTTTTTATTTGGTACCGGGGATTGAACTTGGGTCCTTGTGCTTGCGCAGCAGGTGGTGAAATCACTGAGCTAAATTCCTGGCCCTATTCTAGTACTATTAAACTATATGAACTATTCTATTACTGCAGCTATGTAAGCATCAACTTTAATAAGCTCTCCTTTTTGTTTATAGAAGGTTACTTATGGCTTTCTTCCGAATGTTAAAGCTGATCTTGTACTGTTGTATCCTCTTGTAAAATCCCTTCTAGTGCTGGGATACTTTGATGGCGATTGTATTAGATTTTAGGGATATCTTTTCTCTGACCCAAAACTTTGTTGATTTTTAAAAATCAACAAAACTGCTTTTTTTTTTAAAGTGCAAAAATTAATCCCACTTAATTCTGCTATGCATTCTGCTACATATATGAACAGAACTTTTGTAACTGCGGTAACAGTCAATAGATAGGAAATCAGTTATTCTTGCATCCTTTTAGAATTTTGAAAACTTACTAGGCACTAAAACTTTACTGTAGAACAGAGTCCCTAAGCTGTCTATGTAATGATTATGTTTAATTTCAAAAGAATTCTTAGGCTCTACAATCAAAGAGGGATAAAACTATTTCTATTTTTCATGGGAAAAGGACAGTAGAACGTGCAATAAAGTAACATAATCTTGTATGGTAAAGGCATCTGAGTTAATTTTGATTATGTATAGGAGCCACGATATTTGAAATTTGAATCTTATTATAAATGCTGACAAACCTTAAGAGTTAGTATATTGTAAAACCTTTTACCACCTGAGTAAAATTAAAATATTAATGTTTTGATAAGAGCTTTCTAGCATTTGGATTGTACTTTAAATGTTTAAACATACCAGTTATAGCTCAGTGGTTCTGGCGCCTGCCTCACAAGCGCAAGGTCCCGAGTTCGATCCCTGGTACCAAAAAAAAATAAAAAATAAAACGAAGAGCTTGCTGTAACTGGTATGTTTTTGTTTTCTTTTTTTTTTGGTACTGGGGATCAAACTCGGGACCTTGCGCTTGCGAGGCAGGCGCCGGAACCACTGAGCTAAATCCCTGGCCCCTTATTCGTTTTATTTTTAACAAATTTGGTTAACTGTTTCATGAGATTTTTATTCTACGTTAATTAATAGCACATACAGATTTGAAACTGGAACCTTATACTTTCTGACCAATTTCTTGTGACTGTTTGCATAAGTAATTCACTTTAGTTAATACTGGGGATTAAACTATAACTAATGTGCAAAATTGCTTTGTATATGGGTGATATTGTAATGTAAGTGAATTGATTCATTCTTATCTCACTGATACTGTTATGCAGAGTGCAATTAAAAGTCATGCAACATTTCCCTTTAGAATTGGATTTGAAGAACTCATCTTTATGTGATCATGGTATACATGTGGGGCAGAGAATTTATTTTTTCATTTTGTTAAACTGCTGACAAGTCTTCAGGAAATACCTTGTTAGAAGATTTTATAATGTATAATAAAGTCCATGATTTTTGTACAGTCCTTTTTGTATGACATATTTGATGTCCACTCTGAAGTTTATTTTTCCAAGTTATTTTGAATGGTGTTTTAAATGTGTTACAACACTATAATTACACATTTAATCTCACTGGAATTCCTCAGCAGCTAAAGTGAAAAAAACGTGTCATTTATTGGGGAACGTTTGTTACAGAGTAAACTAATTGTTCACTACAACTTTTTTTCTTGTAGCAGAAGAAAAAGACTTTAATAATTACCAAAGATGTGTTAAGATGATGTATTCTTGATACTGTTGAGTTCTACTCAAATTCTTCTAAAGGTGCAGGTTATTGTGTGCTTCAGCTTGAGCAGTTAGACCTGTAGTCTTAGTACTAATATATGTATTCCCTATGTGCCCTTTGTAGTTTATTGTGGCACTTACAAAGTTCTGCTGGGAGTTTGCGTTCTAATATATATTGAATTTTATAAAATGTTGTATATACTCTTTTAGAAGGTTGAGGGAAGAATAGATGAAATTAAGTTTAGAATTAACGTAATTTTTCTAAGTGCATGTATATCCTAAATATATCTGTATATTCCTATGCTTTTTTTTTTCTTTCCGGTACTGGGGATCCAACTCAGGACCTTGTGCTTGCAAGGCAGGCGGGGTGCCACTGTGCTAAATCCCCAGCTATATCTGTATATTGACATACAACCCACCACTTCTTTATAAGCACACAATTTTGATTTTAAAAAATAAAAACTTTGTGCCAGCTAGTTTTGTAAATTTCTTAATGAAAAAATTGTAATACTTTAAAATACTAATAGAAGTATTCTGTTAAGACTAAATGTGAACACCAGATAGTTAGAACTGACTGAGCTCTGGTGGAAACGGACTGCATCACCTGCCTCCGGTGTCCCTGTTGCTGTGCATGACTTAGCTGTGGCTGAGGGAACATCATCTCATTTTCTTTCTTTGCTTTCAATATATAGAAACCTGTACTTAACAGACAGCTTAGAATACATAGATATAAACTAAAGTTGTATACATACAGTACAGACTATGTAGAAATACAAATTTAAACCATTGTCTCCTGTTATCAGTGAGCAGCCCAACCCCCACATCCAGGACCAGGCTAGGTTCAGTATAGAAACCCATAAGCCCATCATTTATTTGAAAACACTTTTAATTCCCATTCCAGTGATAACATTAACCAATAAATAGTAAATCATAACCAGGAAAGGATATGATTTCCCTTAATGATGAAATTTCAATTAAAGCTTCTGTTTGTTTTTTTGTTTTTTTACTGGGGATCAAACTGGGGACCTTGTACTTTTGAGACAGGTGCCAGAACCACTGAGCTAAATCCTGGCCCTTAAAGCTTCTATCTGGATTAACTAGACTATGTCATCTCTGTACCTGACTACAGAGAAACAGTGTTAGACTCAAAGCTGGCATTGGGACTTTAGCACATTGACAGCTAACTTCCACATCATATAATGCATGACATATATTCAGTCCAGTCATGGATACATGTATGTTCTCTATAACAAAGATTACTGTTAAGAATTACTCTGAATCATTAGAAATGACATCTGTTATTCTGAACACAAAGAAACTGGATACATAATATACTTAATATAAGATCAGTACAAAATTAGAAGTGTATTTCATTCAGTTAATTGAAATTTTTTACTAGTTGGAGGTGTGTGTGTGTGTGTGTGTGTGTGTGTGTGTGTGTTTTGAGACAGGATCTTGCTATGTAGTCCAGGCTAGCCTTGAACTCACGTATGTAGTCCAAGCTGGCCTCGAACTCATGGCAATCCTCCTGCCTCAGCCTTGCCTCTCAAGCACTGGGATTGCAGGTATGTGCCACCATGCCTGGCACTACTTGGAGATTGCTTTTTTATACTGCCTTTAGAATTCTAGGCATTTATATGTTGAGAGGTTGTGTTCAGAGTAACTTTTTAAAGAGTGTAGACTGCATTGAGATTTTAATTGCTGGTAAGGTAAAAAATATGAATCATACATAACAAGTCAAATTTTAAAGAAAAACTGCAAGGGCTGGGGATTTAGCTCAGTGGTTTCGCTGCCTGCTGCGCAAGCGCAAGGACCCGAGGTCGATCCCTGGTACCAAAAAAAAAAAAAAAAACTACAGAATTATATACCTTTTCCTCAAGAATAGTTTGATTACCAGGATCCTGTAAAAATTCCTTGTCCCTAAAGGTCATATTCTTTGTAAAGAATATATGCTTTTAGACGATTGGGTAATGGAAGAAATGACATGAAAACAGGGCAGCGCAAACGTAAACGCCCCATACACTTCCGGATCTTTAGGCGGCACAGATGTTTTAGGGAGCGAGGGTTTGCTAATGAAAGAAACAGGCACATTATTCAAAAGAAAAAAGAACTGCTTTATTTCTTAGTGATGTTAAGAGTTTAGTTAGCAAATGTATTTGATATTTAAACCACCAGGATTTGTATTTACTGTGACTGCATGAGAGCGTCCATTTTCATTGCAAACCTTTGTGTAAATTTGGATTCAAAGTCACATCAACTTGGAGTCCAAAGACATACCGATTGTGTGTCTGGTCTATGAGACACAACGTCCTTAAGTTTCTGTTAGTGTCCTATCCTGTTCCTCACAGACAAGCAAAACAGTAAAGATCACCCAGGGGGATATGAGATGAATGAAATTATTTTTCTTATGTGCTACTTTGGGAAAATTTGGTTTGGAGGAGGATCTTTTGTTACCTTCCACAAATTTAGATCTGCTTTTCTCATCCCTGTATTTTTGGTCATTTCATAGCTTTTAATTCCTGTGTCTGTAGTGTTGCTTTATAGTCATGGTTTAAGTGGACTGAGAAAAAATGTCTCACTTGCCTATATAATAAATACCTAGCAGATTTGTATCTTCTAGAAAATGATAATAATTACAAATTAAGTTATGAACAGTAACTTTTTTTTTTAGAAAGGAATATTATTTTTCTAATGTCTTTAGGTTAGGCTTTTAACCAGAAGAGGGTTCTATAAAATAAGTCAAGCATACAATTAGTATTTTTTACGAGTTTTCTACAGGAAGGATACTTACTTAAGATAAAATGTATTTCTGACCAGAGCCCCTGATTTTGAAGCACAGATTTCAATTTTGAACAGATCCGAACTTGATCAACGTAATCAGGCATCACTGTTACAACTTTTCCAGAGAGATGTCGCAGCCATGACAAAGTTATTACTTCACAGAACTAAAAGGGGAAAAAAATGAGTAAATCAAAAGCACTCATTGTCTATAACAGTAGTGGCAAACCTATGGCACATGTGCTACACCCAGCTATTTGCTATCATTGAAAGCTCTAAAATGTTCACCATCACTGTTCTGTGAATTAGCCTAGTAAGCAAAAGAACATTAGACTCAAGGTCAAGAACCAAGGCCTTGAGATTGTCATCTGGCCTCGAGACCTAACATTTGGAAAAATATTTACTTCTGTGTCTTCAGGACCATATAAGGTGCAATGGATGTATGGCAGGTTTATTATATAATATCTGTTAACCCCTTTGGTTGCTCACCAGTCTGTAAGAAAGAGTACCTTTCCAGCTTTACGTATACCTAGGTGTGGTCGCCTGACTACATTCTAGCCAATGAGATAAATGCAAGTCTGAGCCAACTCCCCAGTACCCTTAAAGAAGAGCAAGATGTGTGGTGCTTCCTCCTCTTGCCTTCCTGCTAGCTAGAATGGGGATGTTCTTTCATCCCTCATGAGTCTGTCCAATTGGAACTCTGTTTACTTCTGGCCTTTTAAGTGAGAGTGGAACGAGCCATTTTGTTCGTTTTTGAGGCAGAGCCTCACTCTGTTGTCCTCACTGGTCTCGCTTTTGTGGGCTCAAGCAGTCCTCCCACCTCAGCCTGCCAAGAACCTGGACTATAGGTATGCCACAGTGTCTGGCTGCTATCTTGTTAAAACTTTTATTTTTGTTTTGTAAAAACTTTGTCGTAATCCTACCCAGATACATGAGTGATATGTATGCCTTTTAAGAAATTTACATGGTCTTTGACAAGATTCCCAGATAAGTAGTCAAGTAATACTATGTGAACCAATTAGGAAATAATACCAGGTGATAAATGTGTGCCTAAATGCCAGCAATGCCAGGTTAAAGACATAGAAAGTAATCCCTATATTAATCACCTAAAGGTAGTAAATCATACAATATAAAAATATTTTGCCTTTCACTTTTCAGAATTGATTCAAAGTGCTTTTCTCCAATTCACTATCCCATTTCTTTTAAATGTTGATAATTAGAATTCAAGTATGTATAGAGCATCTAGTTTTTGCTAAGAGCAGACCTATAAGAGAAAAATGATGAACAATAGTTTATGTTCATGTGTGTGAGACAAATCATTAAAATATTAAAGTGATAATTTCAGAAAGTGATAAATGCTATAAAACATGATCCATTTGATGAAATTGATTAAAGGAACTAGGATCAGATAAAGTGAATGGGGAAGGGAAGGGTCCTCTTGGGGAGATGACACCTGAAATGAGACCTGAAGAGTGGCTAGGGGAAAATTCAAGTTGGGGAAAATGACCAAGTAGGTAAGGGAAAATTAGTGTGAGAAAAAAATGACTTTAAAAGGAGAGGTAGGGTCAACCGTTGTGATTCTTTTTTCATTAGAAAGGTGAACAAAGACCATTTAATCAAATATTAAGACTAAAAGGGCTAAAAACCTAGGGATATGGGTATTGAGAACCCAGAAATTTAGCTGGTTATCTCACAAAGTATAATTGGATTATAGTATGGCTTTTTTTTTCATTCACTCTTTAAAACTTTGCTTAGATGGGCCAGGGATGTAGCTCAATGGCACAGCACCTGCCTGGCAAGCATGAGGTCCTGAGTTTGATTCCTGGTACCAGAAAAACCCAAGGTGCTTAGGTGTTGCTTCCTTTGTGAAAGTCCTTGATATTTTCTAGGTTAAGTCACTTTTTCGTCTGAATTGTTTGTATATATCTGGCTACTATTACATTTATCATATTTATATGATATGAGACTTTGTGTGAGTCTTTCCAACCATGAGATTCTGAAGCATGGATTGAATCTTTCTATGGTTCCAATACTATAATCAATGACTGTGACTGTAATACTGCCAATACTATGGTCTTACCATAGTATCTTTAATAACTGTAGATGTCCAGCCTTCAAAAGCATAGAGACGAACTTTGTCCCCATGAGGACAATCAAAACATCGCTCTGTGTCATACCCATAATTCAACAGCATCCTGAGCATGACTTCATCTTTCAGTGTGTATTGCAGTGCTGATGGGAAATGCAAAGGGTTAACTCTGCAGAAGTAATTAACATTGGCCCCATGCCTCAGCAAAAGACTTATCAGCTCATAATTGCCCATCCTCAGAGCTATCTGCAGGCAGTTAACAGGGTCTTGATTAGGAAGAACTCCAGCATTCAGAAGCAGTTTAACTGAAGAGAGGTCACCATTTGATACAGCAAAATACAAAGCTGATTTCCTTTGGTCATCATAGTGTTTATGAATTCTCTGATCTAGCATGAAATTCACATCAAATCCAGCCTGGATAAGAAGTTCCAGGCATTGAGTGTGTGCTCCTGCTGCTGCACAGTGAACTGGATTGATTCCACTCCACTTAATGGCAGCAAGATCTGTAACTGGAACTAACATCTTTAGGGCTCTGCAAAAGAATTTCAGAAGTTTTTGTAAGGTACGGAGTTAACTTTTTTTATGATCCTTTTATATTAACATGGATGATACTAGTGTTTTGAAACCCATCCCCAACAAAAACTATTTCCTTCATCCAGAAGCTCAGATTCCACATAAAATTGAATGGAACTACTGTCTACGTTAAAAACTCAAGTCATTTGAAACCCAGTGCTTCCCATATATGCTAAGGACCTGATAATAAAAGTTTTATTTTTCTTCTGTGGCTACCAAGGATACTTGGCCTTATCACTTCCTAGCTGATCATGAGTTTCTTCAAAAAGGATGTAAATTGTTGCATCAGAGAAAAAGAGTATAAAGTTTCTAGAAGCTGCTGCCCCAAAAGCTATTAGTATTTCTATTTACAATATGTAATTGAACTTACAATAAGTGGCCTCGGTCAGCTGCCACATGAATGGGCAGGTGGCCTGAAATCTTGGGGATATTGGCATCAGCTCCATACTTCAGCAAGAGAGTCACAGAATCTGGATTTCCTCCTCTAGCAGCTTCAAGTAAGATGGAAGAAGAATCAGAGGCCTGACTGTGAGCATTAGCACCTGAGGAGAAAGAGTCATTATGCAAAAATTATTTTTCACTGTATTAAGCAATTTTTAAAAATCTGTCACTGCCACCAAAAAGGAGTTACTGAGCAGCTGCACTAGCAAAGCACTAAGAATCAAAGGTAAAATATGTAAAATACTTACAAAGTAGTTAAGGAAAATATGATGCCAGCAGTTTCTAAATTATAGGTACAGCAGGTAGGCTGATAAAATGCAAAGGAGATAAGAGAAGGACTCTTATTTAATGTGTAAAAGACACACACACATATATACACATGTGTGTATATTCTCACTTTAGCACCACTAAAACATACCAGATGAACACATGTTCCCTTTACTCAATCATTAACTCTAAGCCTCCTTTCTATAACGTACACACACACACACATACACACTTAATTATCATAAAGGGACAGGAAGGAATTAATGGCCAGAAAGAATGTAGACAACTGCCCAGATTAGGATCACAGATAGCCAGAGAGCCAATCAGATGGCGACAACTTCCAGGTGCCCACAGGTGGGATGGAAAGAATCACTAGTCCTAAATAAAAGGAGCTAGGGACAAGGGCTTGAGGTATTCCCTTTTCTGATGCTCTTACTCTTTCAGAATACCTAATTTATCTTCTCTTTTGCCACCTTTTCCTTAATAAACCAGTTCCATTTATTTTAAACTCTGCCTCATCAATTCATTACTGGTGCCAAGTTTACCGACCCAGTTTGCTCCAGATGAGGAGTGGTGTGTACATCCTACCCCAACTCAACAGTATCATGCTGTCTTTACCTATGCTCTGTAATATATTTTGAAATCTAAAATTTTGGTACTTCTCACTTTAGTCTTTTTGCCAGAATTGCTTTTGCTACTCTGAGTCTCTTATGGTTCCAAATAAACCTTAGTATTTTTTTCTACTTCTATGAAGAAGCATGTTGGTATTTTGATTGGTATTGGATTAAATCTACTTATGACTTTTGTAATACGGCATTTTTGACAACATTGGTTCTGCCTATCCAGGAACAGGGGAGGTCTTTCTGTTTTTTGATGTGCTCTTCAATCTCTTTTTTTCAGAGTGCTATAATATTTGTTACAGCAGACTCACTTCCTTCATGTCTTAGGTACTTTTTCTTCCCTGAGATACAATACCTGGTCCCCAAAACTTAGAGAAGGAGATATTTATTTTAGTTTATGTTTCAGTCTATTGGCTCTAAAGCAGGGCGGTGTTGTAGAGAGGCATGGAATAGGAGCATTCATCACATGGCAGACAGGCAGAGGAGAAATGCCTCCTAACATTAACATGGTGAAGGGGATCAGAGAGATCTAGGGCCAGTGTACAGAGTATATTTGAGGCCTTTCCTAGTGTCCAGTCTTCTCTTGGGGACTTCATCTCCAGAATGACTCAGAAGAAAACTAACCACAATACTGTCGACACAAAGACAAAACTGACATTGGCAGAGAATAAAAGCCAAATAAAAGCCAACAACTATGTCACCATTTACAATAGCCAACAAATCAGCAATAATAATAGATAAAGTAGATATTGACATTCTGTAAGAACCAAAAAGATACAACTGTACCACCCTTAATAGAAGAGATCTCCAATAGTAATGTAAACACAAAGATAAACCAAATGTTGACATAGAATAACATATGTAAGAAATGCAATAACTATCACCATTTACAGTAGAAAAGAATTCAGCTATAATAACATAAGTTCACCTAAATAGCTAAATATTAATAAAGCTGAGTAGCAATAATAATTAAAATGAGATAAGGAAAGGTAAAATAGAAGAAAAATTTGGAAAAAAGGAAAGGGAGGTGAGAAGGATTAAAGTGGAATATGTATCCAATTACAGAACAAAAGGAATTTAATTTAATTAAATAAATGGAAATAAACATTAATTTTAAAAGACCAAGGAAAAAAATAAACAACTGCCCCCCCAGGGGAAAAAGAAAAAGAAAAATAATTCAAAGAAATTCTTCTATTTGTTTGTGAGTGGTTTCTTTCCATGGCTGGCAGTATTGGAATCATAATTAGGGCCTACTTTTTTTTCATATCTTTTTTTGTGTGTGTGTAAATCTAGTTCCTTTCCTGCCTTGGCTTTACCCCAAGGCAGTGTGAATTTAATGGTTTGGTTTCTGCCTTTGGGTTAGATTCAGCCCTGTCCCACAAGACCTGCATGTGACTGGCCTGGCTTCTCATCACAGAAGGGAGGACCGCAGTTTCCTTCCAGGGAGAACTCCCTGCTGCTTAACCTCCGGGGGTCTGTGATTAGCCCATCTTCTTCTGCAGCCTTCCTTTGTGGCCTTCTCTCAACCAGTCTGCTGTTCTCTGACAGTTTCTCAGATTTTTGTTTGGTTTTGATGACTGTGACAGTTTTGAGGTATAAAAATCAAGTATTTTGTAGAATGCTTTTCTATTTGGATTTGTGAGATGTTTCCCTTATCATGAACCTAAGATTTTTATCTTTTGGGAGGAAAAACAGTGAGAATGCCATTTTCATCAAATGATATCAAAGGTACATACATATTCTGAACTTGAGCACTTGGCTGAGGTACTGTTTGTCAGTCTTGTCTACTCTGAAATTACTCTATTTTGTCCCTTTCCTGGCTTTACATTTGTAAAAAAAAGTACAGTGATCAGTCTATAGGCAAGTGGTGGGTGGTGAGCTAGCTCTGATTCCTTGAAAAGTGTATCTATACATGTTAGTAGAATTTTGCCTCAAACATTTGTGTTTCAGCCATCTTTTATGGTTTTAGACAAACATTTACTTGTATCTGTATGGATTCTTATGCATTTGTTTACATTTTGGGTTATAATTAAGTACATATTTATTATGCTATTCAAATCATTCCACCTTTGTCCATTGAGAGATTTTTCATTTAGTTTTGCATCTTTGATATATTACATGAGTGTGGTGACTTGGTCTGTGTATTTCCTTATTTTGTGGTACTACAAGGTTCTCTAGCCTCACATTGTGTGTTTCCTAGTCATTTCTCTGAGGAGTATTTTCTTAATTGGAGAACAGTGTTAGATGAAAAGACTTAGATGCTAGAACTGAGAGAAAAAAATAAATTAACTGGGGCCGGGGATTTAGTTCAGTGGTTCTGCTGCCTGCCTCGCAAGCACAAGGTCTTGAGTTCGATCCCTGGTACCAAAAACAGAAAAGAAAAGAAAATACTAACCTCATTTGTGCTTGTAGTTGATATGTAGACACAATTAAATATATGAATAAAATTTATCTTTTGGTGAGAATTATTATTAAATATTTTCTGCATAAACAATCTTTTCAATTTTAGGGTCGGGGATTTAGCTCAGTGGTTTCGCCGCCTGCTGCACAAGTGCAAGGACCCGAGTTCGATCCCCGGTACCAAAACAAAACAAAACAAAACAAAAAAACAATTTTTATTTGCATATATATTTTTATAATACAATACTATGGAATGCCATTTAATTAGATCATGGAAAAAATTTCTCCTTGGGCCACATAAAAATTAAGATTTAATAGTGGAATTGGTCATCAGTGATTCTAAGTTATTAAGCTGATATGTCAATGTTTATTCTTTCAGTTGTGTAAAATTTATTTATAAAATTAAAGCAAAAATATTTGAAAAATTATCAGTAATTAAAATTGAAAGTAAATTTTCAACCCCTTATTGCATTATCAACTATCAATAAAAATCCTCTTAAAATGTTTGTCTTCCGCTACTAGGCACAAACAATGTAAATCAGAGTGATGTAACATAATGTCATGGCAGTTCAAATCCCTCTATAGTCAGATGAATTTCTAAACTTCAAAACCCCCAGAAGTCATTAATTATTTCATTTTCCCAAAGTGACTGGCAGAATCCTGACATATTACATTTGCTTATTGCATCATCTACATTTAAGTATATGGCAGCATGTATTTTGATTAAGTAGAGGCAGTATAAACCATAAGAACAGTTAATTAAATCTTTAGACATATCCTTGATTAAATTTAGAACCATCTGTACTCATAAAAAAGACAATTTATGTCTTAAACATTTAATCTTCTGTAACAGTGGGGGAGAGTGAACTAACACTTTGTTCATTGACCCTGAGCCAATCATTGTCCTAGTTTTTTTGGATATGTCATTACATTTAATTAAAAGTTTTGTGTGAGACTGTGTTAGTTACTTTTCTCCCATTGCTGAGACAAAATACTCAACATCCAAAGTTAAAGGAGGAAAGGGTTTATTTTGCTTAACAGTTTGTAGAGGTTTCACTCCATAGTTGGCTGGCTCCAAGGCAGCATGGCAGAGGGGCAACAGTTCATGGCAGCGGAAGACAGCAAAAGCAACAGCAAAAACAAAAGAAAGACCTTGACAATGTCTTTCTGACCCTTTTATCCCATCCAGACTGTGGGGATTGGAGCAGTGCCAAACAGTCACTCACCTATAGTGGTTTAGTAATCACGTGCCCTTAATCCCAGCATCACACATTCCAGATTCAGCCACCTCAGAAAAAGACTGCATGAGGCTTTAGGGGTCATCTAGATGCAAGCCACAACAGAGATTGTGTTATCTTTATTATAAATGAGTATCACATTTGCCCAAATTCAAACAGTTCACACATTTTACAGTGGTACTATACATTCAAGCACCCTTGATTCCAGGCTGAAATGATGAACACAATGACATCTATAACAATAAGCTTCCCAGAGGTTCTATTGTATATTTCAATAAATTAAGTGTATAACAAGTTACACACAGTAGTAATATGATGTGTCCTGATAAAATGTTGTAAGTTGTGTAAGTACTATAAAAGCTTGCTATTAAAATATCAGATAATATTTATAAAGTAAGGCATGAATTCAATAAAACACAATACTGACTTGTAGAAGACACTGCTTGCCTTCTCTAGCAAAAACTTGGGTACATTCTTAACTGAGTGACTTGGTAGCTGGAAGATATGGGCCTAATCAACTTTTTTTTGAGGAGGGGACTGGAGGTGTTTCTTAGTTGTGTTACATTTGGCTAGCGTGCACAATGTTGTAATTTTGATTCCTAGCGCTTCCAAATATAAAAACAAAAAGCCCCAACTTTTTCTTGTTTTCATCAATGAAAATAAGGTAGTAA